TCCGTGTCATACAAAAAGTCGAGATGTGGGAGAAGGGTAGTCTGTTGTGTCCCGCCGGCTTCAACTGCAACATCTGTCAAAAAGACAAGGCCACGTTTAACGACCAAGAACGACCTGCGACCGCCGCCAGATGCGGGATCGGTGCCAAGCTTTCCCTAGCACCGGCAGGCATTTGCGCCAGGCTTCAACATCTCTCGAATGCATCAACAGCACCTTGAACAACGGCCAACAAGCAAGCATAATGCCCGAACGATAGCATGTCCGAAAACGAATCCATCATAGACTCCGAACAACGCTCCATTGGCAACGACGACAATCTGGGCAGAGTGCGTTCACCACAAACGACTGACTTGTACCTGCGGGCGTGCTCAGGACACCAATTAGGCACATCGCGAGATTGGATGGCGACTCCAACTCGAATGACCTCCCGGCCCTGTCATAGAGAGTCTCAAAACCGTCGACCTGTTTGCAGGCAACCCTCCTTCCAGTATGTTCCATACAGGAACCCAGATATCCATCCACTATGTTAAAGTCGAAGTGATTAGAGGAGTGACGACCCCAGTCGCGCTTCAGTACCTAAGGCAGCCACGATCTAGCACTAAGCCCGTTCGAGCCTGATGCCACCTGCCACAATTCGGTAGAGTGACGCAGTTGGGATCGCATGCATTTGCAGTCCTCTTGGGACGTATCCAAACACTCGCTATCTGTGCGGCTATTCACAGATTCCTGTCCTGCGTAGATTCTAGCTTCTATAACAGGAAGTATGCTCGAGTCATTCGAAATCTTCTCGACCTCTGGAGTAGTGCTGTGGTCTCGAGGGAGCAGCAACGCCGCCGCCAGTGCCGTCAACTCGCTCATTAATGATGTGTTCATAGAAGAGAAATCTTCCACCAAGTCGACCTCGTTTCAGCACGAGAAATTCACATTGAGATGGACATTGGTGAAAGAACTCGGTCTTATCTTCGTTGCTGTTTATCAATCGCTCCTGCACCTATCTTGGGTCGATCAATTCCTAGAGGAAGTCAAAACGGTATTCGTCAACCGCTACAGCGATCAACTTGAGGCTCGAGCCACAGTCGCCAGATATGACTTCGATCGCTATTACGACGAGCTGTTACGACGACAAGACCAGATCACAGGCGGAGAGGCGACAAGGAATCCTCGAGTGGCCATCGAAGCCAGCAAAAACAATCCGGAAGAGAGAGATTCAGGTGGACCTCCGCCGCCATCACAACCTGGGTTGCTAAGGGCGCAGTCTCAGACTGTCCCTACGAACGGTGATTCACAAGACACTACACCGGTACAATCGCCTGAGACTTCACGCCCAACGACGCCATTACCGGGAGTGGCTCCGCATCTTCTGGCTGAAAATCGTCCTGGAAGTAGAGGTTCTAGACGTGCAAGGAAGGCGGCAAATGCGACTACCAGCTCGAACTATGTCTCTAGTGGAGATGAATCAAGGCGACCAAAGCCAGTCAAGGGTGCTTCGAAGAAGGGAAGAATCTGGGACTCTGATGGGATGGCTGCCGAAGACGACGGACAAGTATTGGATTACTCGAATGCCGAGGATGCGTCCGCAACCAATGGGGCAGAGACACCTATGGAGTCAATTGCGCAAGAGAGCTGGGGCAGCAAGAACAAACAAGGACAATTCGTGCTGAAGGATCTTGATGATGAGATCAGTAATATTCTGAAAGAGTCGGGATCGAAGGGTGCGGAGGAAGACACACCTACTTCCGGCGCATTTGGCATGATCTCAGGTTACTTCAGGAACATTGTGGGCGGGAAGACCTTGACCAAGGAGGATTTGGACAAGCCTCTGAAGGCCATGGAGGAACACTTGATCAAGAAGAACGTTGCACGTGAAGCTGCCATCCGTTTGTGTGAAGGTGTTGAAGCTGAGATGGTCGGAAAGAAGACCGCGGCATTCGAGAGTACAGACAAAGCACTTCAGCCAGCTCTTGAGAACTCCTTGAGGAAGTTACTTACGCCTAAGACATCATTGGACTTGCTACAAGAGATCGAGTCTGTCACGAAGGGTGGGAGGTCAGGTGGGCGTCCATATGTCATTTCCGTCGTCGGTGTGAACGGAGTCGGCAAATCTACCAACCTGTCCAAGATATGCTATTTTTTGCTCCAGAACAACTATCGGGTTCTGGTTGTCGCAGGCGATACTTTCAGGTCAGGTGCGGTCGAACAGCTTGGGGTGCACGTTCGTAACCTGAAAGAGTTGAGCGCACGAGAGAACGTTGGCCGAGTTGACCTTTATGAGAAAGGCTATGGTAAAGATGCTGCAAATGTCTCCAAAGATGCGGTCGCTTTCGCTGGGGTTAATGATTTCAATGTCGTTCTCATTGACACGGCTGGGCGTGCACACAATAATACACAGCTCATGTCTGCGTTGGAGAAATTTGGTGATTTTGCAAAGCCTGATAAGATTTTGCAAGTTGCTGAAGCCTTGGTTGGAAATGATTCGGTCAATCAAGCCAGGAATTTCAACAAAGCTTTTGGAAGGAATAGGTCATTGGACGGGTTCATCATCAGTAAGTGTGATACTGTTGGCGATCAGATCGGAACGATCGTGAGTATGGTTGCTGCAACAGGCATTCCAGTAGTATTTCTGGGGGTTGGACAGCATTATGGTGATTTGAGGCAGTTGTCCATACCGTGGGCAGTGAAGTTGCTGATGAGCTAGGCATTGGACGAATTATGAAGAATTTCTCACAGAGATCGTGCTGATTTGCACGGGTATGAACTACCAACATCCGTGCCAGTTGATTGCACGGTCAACGCCGCAGACCTCACTGTTGAAGATACATTCTGGAGAAACGGTAAATCTTGGTAGGTGCTATGTCCGTGCAACCAATTCGAGGTACAAGAATGTCCTGCCAACCACAAATTGGGACGATGGAATGACCAAAAATTCCGAACACTAATTAGATTTGGTGCATTCCCTGCATTGCACAGGCACTCTTTCAGAGTGCATAGCTTCAGCCTCATGGTTCGTGTTTACCAACAATCCTTACTATATATTCCTTGCTCGTGTTCCCTGTCCTTCACCTCACCAGTTATCCAGGCCAATCTTTCCAGTCTAACCACAGTCACTCACTTCTGTGCTCGTCTCAGCCTTTCATACACCATGAAGACCACCACCTTCCTCAACGTGGCAAGCCTCGCGGCCTCTGCAGCAGCCGGTCCGCTCACTAACACAACTTCCCGCTTCAACGTGGCTAACGGAGATGCCTCCGAAACCGGCACATCGGACTATTACATCCTCGCATTCGCATTGACCCTCGAGCATCTCGAAACAGCGTTCTACACCGAGGGTGTCAAGCGCTTCCAAGCTTCCGACTTCTCCGATTTCGAGTCCCAGACCTCTACAACAACCTCCTGCGCCTTGCCCGCGATGAAGCCGTCCACGCCGACGTCCTCACAGAGAAGCTCGTCGAGATGAGAGGAGACGCACCAGGCCCCTGCAAATACAACTTCCCATTCAAGAACGCCGCAGAATTCATCACCCTCGCCGCCATCATCGAAGGCGTCGGTGTCTCCGCCTACCCCGGCGCATCAACATCCATCCACGACCCAGCCGTCCTACAAATGGCAGCCTCCATCCTTCCAGTCGAAGCCCGCCACGACGCAATCCTCCGCCAGGCAACCGGCGTCCCCCCCTACGCCTCCCCCTTCGACACCCCGCTAGACTTCAACCAAGTCTGGACCCTCGCCTCTCCATTCATCGTCCCAGGCAGCTGCCCACCCGGCTACGAGCACCTCGGCCTCACCGCCTTCCCCGCCCTCGCCCTCGTCCAAAAGGACGGCGACGAACCAATCAACGCAGGCAGCGACATCCTCCTCCAAGTCGCCGATGACAGCGCCAGCGCTACCCGCCGCCGCTCCCACATCCCAATGCACAAGCGTCACAGCAGCGCCGTCCGTCGGGCCGCCCACGTCCACCAAAGACGAGAGGGTGAGATCTACGCTGCGTTCCTGACGGTTGAGGGTGCGATTTTGGCCAAGACCGAGCAGGATGGGAATAGCTTTGCGGTTACGGTACCGCAGGGTGTGGCGGGGCAGGTGTATGTTGTTCTTGTGGATAGTAAGAGTGATGTTACGGATCGGACGACGGTTGCGGGGCCGGCGATTGTGGAGGTGCAGGATGTGTTGAAGATGGATAAGCCGGCGAATGCGACTATGAGTGAGGGTGAGGGTGAGGTTCAGGGTGGTGATGGTGGTGAGCAGTAGGTGTTTTGAGATTGGGGCTTAACAGTGGAGAGTGGGTTTGACTGGAATGGAAGATGGAGACGATGATATGCCGACATGAACCCTGGACGATAATCGACTAATGGTCTACATAGCACCACCCTCGTTTCAGCATGCAATATGCGACTACACTCGTTCGGTGGTGAAGATGAAAGGGAAGACGGACTTGGAGGTTTCAGATGGAATTGACGCGGGTTATGAGGCGATTGCATCAGCACTAATGGTGTACAAAGCACCACACTCCTTTTCAAGATGAGACCACGTTTGTTCATGAGGGATGATAGTGTACGATGGATGGATGATTGGGCATGACTTGATTTGGCTTGACTTAGCACTTTGAATGATATTGATTGATTTGGAAATTGCAAGACCTGCAAATTCCTTTTTACGGCAATACAGTCGAACGGGAGTGCACTCCCGTGCCTATTATCCAGATACTCATCTTACAGATGAAGCCTCTGAAAACTAGCTACTATTACCCAGAAAGCAATTCTTAGGAATGTTAGCTATGATCTCGTACCATCACGAACCAGATGCTCTTACATCCTACCGTTAGTCCAGTGAAGCTTTATGACCGCCGAAGCGGCTTTAGCATGATGGGAGTGTGCAAGTGGGTGAAATAGAGGCAAGCGTGACCTGAGGGCACTTCTGCTCTACTGTTACTAGTTGGGCTGATGGTGATAGTGTGGGCATGTACAAAAAGTAAAAAGAAGTTCTGTGCTCTTGAAGAGTTGGCTGAATGCATCAGCCGGGAGTCGAACCCGGGCCAATTGCTTGGAAGGCAATTCTTAGGAATGTTAGCTATGATCTCGTACCATCACGAACCAGATGCTCTTACATCCTACCGTTGGACCACTGAAGCTTTTTGACCACCGAAGCGGCTTTAGCATGATGGAAGTGTGTGCTTCCAATGACCATCTTGAAGCACTTTTTGATTTTTACCGTATATGTTGGCTTTCCTCTGCTTCGCCCTGGAACTGTGTGGAGATGCTGTACTCATGCAGGAATTAGTCATATAGTAGAATGTCAAGCACATACTCCTCGAATCGTTGTTGATGATGCGTTCGACTTTGTGTGGCCAAGGGGCTTCGGCATGCGCAGGCAATGGTTGCGCCGAACTCGGAACAATAATTTTGCGCGCAGACTCGAAGACTCGGACTGCCATCTTCACTTCAAGTTCTTCAGCAGCTGTACGAGCTGGACCTTCTACACAACTCGAAAAGCGGCAAAGCAGGATTGACTGGCTTGACTGTTTTCTGTGAGAGCTAGATGTCGCTTGTCAACGACATTGAGATAAATTTGTGCTCTTTGAGTTGACCCTCTGCTACCGGTCTTACTTCCTCAGGTATAAGAGAATGTATTGCTGGCGCAATCTCACATGGGGGCTGCACCTTTTGCTAGGCTTGTCACATAGTAAGACCGGAGCTGCAAAGGAGATCAACGATGTTCAACAACCACTCGTTCCCCCAGAAGCACTGGCGACTGATCGCAAACAACCCAACGTCATCTTCATCCTGACCGATGACCAAGACCTCCACATGTCATCGCTTGACTACATGCCACATCTGCAAAGTCATTTGGTTGAAGAAGGAACAACCTTCAGTAATCACTACTGTACTGTTGCATTGTGCTGCCCAAGTAGAGTCAGCTTGTGGACAGGAAAACATGCCCACAATACCAACGTAACAGATATTAATCCGCCACACGGTAGGTACTGCCCTTGCGTAGATAGCTGTTGTGCGTGAAGAGTGCTACCAGCTGACTGCTGCAGGCGGCTATCCAAAATTCGTCTCGCAGGGATTCAACGACGACTATTTCCCACTCTGGATGCAAGATGCGGGCTACGACACGTACTACGTGGGCAAGCTCTTCAATGCGCAGAGTACCACAAACTACAACAAGCCGTTTCCACGAGGCTGGAATGGATCTGACTTCTTGCTTGATCCTTTTACCTACGAGTACTTGAATGCCACTATGCAGCGGAATGAGGAGCGGTGGGGCAAAAGGCCAATACATGAAGATCCTCGAAGCTACGAAGGCCAATACGCAACCGATGTCTTAGCAAAGAAGTCTTACGGTTTCCTTGATCAAGCTATTGTGCAGCGGCAAGGTGAAGGTCGTCCGTTCTTCCTCACCATAGCGCCCACAGCACCACACAGCAATGTCCATATCAATATCGACCTCTCGCATGGTGGCGGGAAGTACACCGAAAAGACCGCAATTCAGTCACCTCCAGTACCAGCCAAGAGACACGAGCACCTGTTCGAGGATGTCATCGTCCCACGAACGCCAGACTTCAACCCCGACCAGCCAAATCCTGTATCTTGGCTCAGGAAGCTACCCAAGCAGAATCAGACCAATATCAACAGCAATGACCACTGGTATCGACAACGCCTCCGAGCTCTCCAGGCAGTCGACGAGATGATCCCGCCTATCGTTGAGAAGCTACAGAATGCGGATTTGTTGGATGACACATACATCTTCTTCTCGAGTGACAACGGGTACCATATTGGCCAGCATCGCTTGCAACCAGGGAAGCAGTGCGCATATGAGACTGATATCAATGTGCCGATGGTTGTGCGAGGACCTGGTGTCGGTCGTGGGAGGATCACGGACGTGGTGAGCTCGCATATTGATCTTGCGCCTACCTTTTTGCAGCTTGCTGGAGTCGATATCGTGGGCCTAGAGTTACGGTATGGACTGGATGGTGCAGGTATACCGCTTCACGCTCTACTCAAGATGCGAGACGAAAAAGTCAATGGCGCGGAAGGAGGAGGCACCGTGGGAGACATACTGGCCCCCGATGGCTCCGACGATGATGTAAAGCACAGAGTGAGCACAGCCAACAAGCACGAACACCGTCAAGAGCACGTCAACATCGAGATGTGGGGCATCATCATGTCAGAAGGGAGATATGGCCAGATCCTATACCCGAATCACACGTACAAAGCTCTCCGAGTAATCGCAGCAGATGGCAGCTACAATCTGGCCTACACAGTATGGTGCACCAATGAGCATGAGTTGTACGATCTCAGACATGATCCGCATGCCTTGCGGAATTTGTACGGAAGCGGCGACGAGACGGTAAGCATTAACTTGAGTGCGTCTCTCGCGACAGACGATAAATTCCAAGCAAAATACGTGTCAAGCTCCGTTGACCAACAAGCCTTGACTCACGATGCGAACCACACAGTGAGGCTTGACACGGCACAAGTCAGTATTTCTCACCTCCTCACTCGACTCGACGCTCTACTCATGGTTCTAAAGACCTGTAAGGGTCGACAGTGCACGCATCCTTGGGAGCAGCTGCATCCATCTGGTGACGTAATTGCCCTCCGTGATGCGCTCGACCCTGGCTACGATGATTTCTACGAGAGAGAAGTGGCAAAAGTGTCCTTCGGTGAGTGCGAGCAAGCGTATGTATTGGAAAGTGAAGGGCCTGTCTGGGACCCAGATGGCTTGGCCGGCGGTGGCAAGGTGAGGATATGGCCTGAGATGTTGACATAAGCAGCTGCAAGGTTTCATGGACCGTAGAGAGGTGCAGGCTTCTTTGAATCAAGCTACAGCAATTGGGAATCTCCGATCTTCGCAAACGGGTATCGGCATCTGCCAGGAGCTGGTGATGATCGAGGTGGAGAAGAGGGAAGGCGAGCGAGATGGTGAATCATGGGCAGCAATGCCACTAGCTCGCATGACTAGCTGACTTTGTCCCATGGCAGCTTTAGTGTCGGCCTTTTGCTGGCGCATTCAGCTCGGCCCACTCAGGACTTGTGTCTTGCAGTCACGGTGATCGTCGCTGAATGGCGCGGTGAATAGGTGCAACATGTTGCGCTTGTGATGTCAGAGGGACCAGCAAGCAGCGCGTGCGACGATCGAGTCACCGAGTAAGGGGTATCAGCTGGTCAGTGAAAGCATACATGTTCTGCGGGCTGTGCTGTGTGAGCAGAATAGGTGGTTAAGAGCTAGGTGGATCAGCTCAGACTATCAGGCCCAGCAGTGCCTCGGAAGAAATGAATGTGTAATGCGAGATGAACGCGGTGAACTTCGCAGTTTGGTTAAAAGTCGGATTACATACATACATATTAAGACTTGGGCTCCATGACTGTTGCGCAGTCACTAGCCTGTCGATCTATTTCGAGTCAAGGATGATTATTGAACAAGACCAGCCGTCTACTCAACAAGGCCGTATCTCGGAGCATTAATGATGATACCCATCAAGCAGCCAGAGATTGTACCAGCGACAGGGAGAGTGATGAACCAGCCCATGTAAATCCAGAGTATCATCCTCCAGTTGATGGCCCGCCATGTACCAGAGCAAAGACCAACGCCGACCGTAGCACCAGTGATGCATTGAGTAGTTGAGATCGGCAAAGCGAGACGGGTAGCAATAATGACAGTGAGAGCCGCGCCAAGCTACATCGAGAAACCTCGAGCCGGTGAATGGAGAGTAAGACGGTTGCCGAGGTTGCGCATCATGTTGTAGCCGTATGTCCAGAGACCGATCGAGATGGCGGCACCACCAAATGCAAGGATCCAGATTGGCACTTCGCTGTCGTCAAGTGTCTCGTTTGTCGTCCAGATCTGGTAAATAGCGGAGAGAGGACCGATAGCGTTGAACACATCGTTAGCGCCGTGACCGAAGGAAGCGACGGCAGCTGTCATGATTTGAAGGAACGAGTAGAGATGTTCAGTCTTGTTGTCGTAGTGAGGGACGTGCTTGTGGTATTTGGTGAGATCCTTGGCCAAGAACGAAGCGGCGAAACCCTTGGGCTTGACGCCGACGCCTCCTTGCTCCTCGACGATATCTCGGTTCACTCCTCGGAGGAAGTAGTACTTTGTTCTGGCCATGAATCCTGCAGGAGTCTTCCACGAGTTCTCTCGAGACGCGAGTCTTGCTTTCTCTTCCATGCTGAGGGAAGGCATAGCGGCTTCTGGTACCTGCCCACTGCCGGTGTCTGAGGTGTTACCCGACTCAAGTTTGTCAGCTGGCATGGAGCCACTTTCAAGCTTGAGGCTGGATCGTCTGTCGCCTGGTCCAGTGGCGATTTCGTTCGCAACAACAGGATCGGTGTTGCTGGTGACATGGCCTCTGTAGTAGTCCTGAATGATCTTCTGCTCGTGGCCTTCCGGCACCGGTGACACTGGACCTCTCTTCCATAGAAGTGGTCCCTTGATGACTTCCCGGCCCTCAAGCGTCCAGTCTTCCATTACAAGACGTCGGTGGAGATATGGGAGGAGGAAAATGGCGTACAAGGCGATGACACCGGCGGCTACGCCGAAGATCGTACCAACGGTAGGGCCTACACCCCAGTCATCGAGATCGAGCGACGCGGCTTGTGAAGGTCAGTATCTTTCTTCTATAGGTAATGAGCACGTTGACTGACCTCCTTTCCATACAATGGACATGGTCAAGACAGCGGAGGTGACACCGAAGTATACTGGGATCATCCAGAAACCGTTCCTCAAGGGAGTTTTGCGTTCGAGAACAGCGTATTTGGTGATGAGGAAGATGATGGCAGCGAAGCACCCTGAAATGCCAGGCGCAATGGCCCAAGCAGCGAAGACTGAGCTCACACCTTCCCAAGACCAATCCACTTGGCTGGGTCCGATGGTTGCGAAACCGACCCCAATGATGCCGCCAACTATCGAGTGGGTGGTGGAAACAGGGAGGCCAATCTATCAGACGTCAACACTATGAGCGGTTGATGTGTCAAGGCGAGAGTCACCTTCGTAGCCAACGTTAACCAAAGAGAACTGCCCACCAAGGCACACATCATGCCGAGCATGAGAATCGACGGTTGCGCCGCAAATGCCTCAACTGGGATGATATCGTTCTTGATGGTTCCAGACACTCGAGAACCC